CCTCATTTGTGAAATGACTAGAGGACCTCTGAAGTCTCTTGCAGTTTCTGTGACCTATGATGTAGTAAACAAAATTTCAGTTAAATGATAAGGTTTGGAGTCACACTAAGGATGGCAGGGGAATAGTGAGAGGTGAGTTGGAAGTGAGAGCAAGGAGTAAAGACAGTTTTTTTCCCTAGGAAAAGGAGAGATAGAGGACAATGGCTTAAGGTGATGCTTGGGTCAGGTGAGGGTTTTTAGGAATGAGGAAGACCTGTGTGTGTTTTAAGGCAGCAGGGAGCCAGTAATAGAGAGCAAAGATTAGAAAGAGAGGGTGGATGATTGTCTGGACAGTCTTCCAAGAAGGAAATCAGGGAATGGGATTAAGGGTAAAAGTAGAAGATTTGGCTTTAGTAAGAAGAAAGGCCATCATTTCCTCCAAGATTAGAACAGAGAGAGAAAGAGTACAAGGGATAACGTCAAAGTGTAGAGATGCAGAATAGGGGGGAAAGGGAGCTCAGAGAAAATGGCCTCTTTTCTCAGTAAAGGATCAGATCCTCTACTGAGAGAGTGGGGGCTAGGGGGAGTATGAATTATCTATTGGTTTCAGTTGTCCATGCCAAAACACCATTTGATGATATAAATAATCAAGAGGAAGTAGACCCTTTTCCTACCTAGTCAGCCTGCGATAGCTACTTTCACCTTGGCCCCCATCCCCTCAACTCCCAGGACGGATATAGTTAGATGAATAAAATCGATATTCCTGAACATGGTTTTGCAAAGTTATTTTCCCTTTCCCAGGCAGCTGAGAAGGTGATTTCCCCTTGATCCCATAATAAAGTCTAAATTCTGGACTCTACTGCATCGATTTGCTACAAGCCCTTACTCTTCGGGTCATTTACATAGTCTCCCCAAGAGTGGGGTAGGTCAGCTGGAAAAGAGACAAATTGTATAAGAATCTAGGGCCTCTTTAGATGCACTTCTTGCTTCCCTTAGCATATCTAAGAGTCAGGCTTTATGGGAAAGGAAAAGGAAACAGAATTGCTTATATGTTATTTCATTTGGTGTAGAAATAAGTAAAATAAGAATGGTTTTAGCCAAAACTCAGGCTTAGCAAGCAAGTTTACCAAAAGGTAGCAGAAAAGAGGGCTTGCAAATCCTCAGAAGGGTAACGGGTCTTCTCACCTCATCTCTTACTGCTGCAGGTTTTATTTAGCTGATGGTGTTGGTGTGGCCTCTGGGAGTTAATATGGCACATAGCTGATTGCCAGAAGTATGCTGAGTCCTTTGCCTCAGTTTCTACATTAATAAAATGAAGACAGGGCCTTTCTCCCTTCTGGGAAGGCAGGATTCTCCCAAGCTGAGTCATAGTACATGAACTTTCTGGGACTCTTCTAAAGAAAAGGATTTGAAACATAAAAGGGGTAGTAAATGAAATGCCATTTCTAAGATTTCTAGAAGAATCTTAATGACTCTGGGTTGTTCTTTTTGTTTGTTTGTTTGTTTTTTGCTGCAACCAGGGGCCATGTTGAAATAAAAGGATGATTTGTATAGAAATCACCTGGCAGATACGATGCTGAGGTCCTGGACCCATTAGTAATGACTCAGGTCTCAGTGGTAAATCCAGAATGGCAGTTGGGCTTATTACACCCAGAAGTGAGGCAGGGGAACGTTAATGTCTTAATAGTCTGCCTTACAGTGGGAGAAAGGTTCCTGGAGGTGAGACGGGTGCGTTGACCTGGCCCTTTCCCCTCTTCACCAATGGGAATCCCACCCTTGTTTAACATTCCACTCCACTGTGTCCTGGCTCATTGCTAACAGTGATTCACTTCAGTCACTGGTCAGGGTTTGAGTAAGAATAGTTAAGTATGGAAAACTGATAGAACTTTCTCAAGGGGAGGTATCTCTCCATCCAGATTTTTGCTCTTTTCCCTAGCCTGACTTTATGATGGGGTTGAATACAATTCTTCCTTATCAGCTTGTAAATGATCATGTCCATCTCAATACATCTTTCCACATTTCCCCACTTCATATTTCTAATTGTTTCCTCATTGACGTTAAAGAGCTGTTTAGATGTTTCAAATTTATAAAGAACAAATTTGGCCCTAAATAGGAGTGAAGACACATTTGCAGAGGTAGGAATCTACCTCTGGAGGTTGGAATGTTGCATATGAGGACATTTTTTTGATGTGTTAATTAGTTTTACTGAATTTTCTTTCTCTTTAAAAACAAAACCCTTTGTTATAAGGGCTGGCTCTGAAGGAGCGAGAGGGATGTAGAGAGAAATGTAAGCGATATAAAAACAAAAGACATCAATAAAAATCTATTTAAATTTTTAAAAAGTTATTCTCAGATTTATTACTATTGAGTCATAAGATTTTGAGCTAGAAAGGACCTCAGAGATCCTTTAGTCCAGTGCCCCTCTTTTCATATGAGGAAAATGAGACCCAAAATGATGAAGTGACTTGGCCAATGTGATACAGAATCTACCCAGTGTCCCTTGACTCCAAATCTAGTCCAATCCAATCAATATTTATTAAGTGCCTACTATGTACCAGGCACATAAGCTCTGGGGATACAATTAATTTTTTAAAAAAATCTTCAATGGGACAACTGTGGCAGGTGTGTAGTTTAAATGGTATCTTCATTTTATAGCTGAGGGGTAAAATTATTTGCCTAGGATCATATATCAAATAACTAATAATCAAACCCAGATCTTCTAACTTCAGTACTAATGCCTTTTCATATTTTAATATTTTATTGGTGCTCTTTTTTCCCCCTCAGATATCACTGTCACTTCCCAACAGCCCCTGCCCTCAAGGAGCTTACACTCTAATGAGAGGGGACAACACACAAAAAGAGGCAAGGAAGTGAGGAGGGAGGAAAACCAAGAGGTACCCAGGAGCAGTTGAACCAGGCAGGGCAGCAGATGAAAAGTGGAGTGAGCTGAGTCCTGTTTCTGCCTTCTATAAAGAAAGGCATCAGGAGGCATTTAGTTCTGTGCCCTGTAGCCCTTCAGTCAGAGTGGAGAGGAGGCTGAGGAAGGTAGTGTCACGGCTTGAGTTAGCAGCATGCTAATAAAATGTTGATGATAATAATAAGAGGTGGTGAGCTTAACCCCAGAGGGGCATCTTGTTTTCTGGAGTTGAAACCACACAAAGCAGCAGATGCCAGGTGGAGATC